CTTAACTGTCAATGAATCTTTGTGAACTAGAAAACGTCTAACCGTCATACTTCTCTCGTGCTCCTATTCGAAGGAATTGTTAGTTTTACGTTTTTGAAAAATTAAAGCCGTGAGAAACGTTATTTGTCATTACGTTTCGCTTGCAGCGGCCCATAAAGGCCGACTATTATTTCAATATTGCGCGTACCTTCCGCCATTTTGTGAAACGAGAGCGCCATCTTTGTTCAATGCCTTATTGCGCTATCCTATTATGCTACTGGCTCAAATGATATGAAATAAATAGGTCCACAGTGACCAGCTGGAGATGTATACACGCTAATCCTTACCAATTATTAGCCATTTCACTATCGCTGACAAAACATGTTAGGCGCGGTTGTCAGCCATTTAATACTGTACTGTGTTAAGTTAAATAAACCAATTGCTAAGGGCTGCAGTTGGTCTACAAGAACAGCACTTTTATCGCGAATTTAACGGCCGGGCCTGTTTTATATTGCATTTAGTTGTTTCGCCGTTCATTTAACGAGAGTGGGTATGGCTACAAAGACAGTGACTCCCTTTTCCAGCGTTGCCTTTCCTGCCTTCTCGATGGCTTTACCGATTCTTTTCAGGCCCTGAAACAATTACATATTGTATGAGAACTCAGCTGATGACAACAAAATCGATCTATACGTTAGCTTTACCTGCCGAGGCCGCATTCCAAAACAATGCGTCGTACCCGACTAGCATAACCGAATTGAATGACTTCAAGAAGTTCCGAAGTTCTTCGAAGAAAAGTGTATCATCATCTTCGACTTGCTCCTCGAATGCTGCCAACGTAGAGGCGTCACCGATGCGCCGCACTCCAAGGGTTCCTTGATACCCTTTTCGATTCCAGAGCTCACCTTCTTGCAACTCTATATATTATTATCTTCGCATCAAAAAAGGATTGAACATATAACTTGTTAGCCTTATAGATGTGGCACTTAAGGACATCGTAGTTCACACGGACACCTCTCTTCTAAACAGAAACGTAGTTGAATTATTTTGAGGACAATTTACGCGGAGGCTTCGGTCGAAGATGAGTCTACGCAGGAATTGATTCGCTACTATCTGACGTTTAAATGTACACTTACGACACAATTCCAATGCGTCCTTAAAATCCAAGATACCAAATGAGTAGGAGGAAATGATATATAATCGCTCTTAGCAATTACGGATTCTTCAAACAGGATGTCCAACTAATGTCCACCGTGCTGCATGTACATATGGAACTGATTACGAAACATTCTGAACGAGGCGAAACCAAGTTGTACGGTGTACCATCTTTACACCAGATATCAACCTTCTTCCCACATAAGCTTATATATATGCATAATTCTAGCCAGCTAGATTTAAACTTGATATTAAATAAAAACTAGGCATAATATAGCATATCATACGCCTGCTGTAGAAAATAAAAATAACGATATGTCCGGTGAGTATTCAAGGTCTTTAGCAGAATAAAAGGTTTTAAAATAAACTTTGGATTTTCCCTGGAAGTTTTGCATGTAGTTCCATCATAAATATTGTCCTCACAAAGCAAAAGTGACTCATAGAGCACTAAGAGTTCATCAAGCGTTACTTTCCGGCCCGGTTTCAAGCCTTTAATGCATCTATCATTCGTATAGCGTCCAATATAGTCAACGTTCAATTCTAATGCAACTACTACGTGCAATGTATAAAACTGCATTGTACAAATTATAGAAAGTTCACAACTTTTTATGTGTATATATATACGTGGGACCAGTAACGTAAATACAACTTATATGAAGATGTATACGACACATATGAATGAAATGACGAATGCAGGATCTGCATACTTGGCGAGAGCGTCAGCTAGAAACACAGACGAGCACATAATTAGATATAAATACTTATATCACTAACGAGAGGGGGATAGCCACGATCTAAGAAAGACAGTATTTATAAATGAGCGCCAGCAAATTGACCCAGTGTGACAAAGGATGCGAGGTAAGTAAGAGGTATACAGGGGTATTTACCTTTAGACATGATTTCTACGCTTGCAGTGTCCGCTGCTCAAGATTAATACGTTAAGCCGATAAAAATCAACTGTTCACCTCATAGTACTCAGTTATTAATTTTAAAAGGTCTTCAACAGATGATCATATCAACGAATCGTCTATAAATGTCTACGACTGCAAAGATAAAGGTCGTAATAAAATTATAATATGTGAAAAAAGCATTAGATCTGTACAAATCTTGCCTAATGTTGGTCAGTATCTATATAATTGTGGCATATATGACTAAGATATTAGCGATTCCACCACTCGGTTATAGTAGAAAGTTGCTAAGAAGTTCTTCAAGTTAGTAATTAAAACGGATAGCTTTACAAAGCAATGTAGAGTCACTCAGTATAAGATATTCTGTTAGCAAGATTTTCATAGTTACCCAAGAGTCGCTAGTAATATAAGAAGAATTGAGCGGCATCTTACAGAGCACGACGTCAAATTGCTACGGCTGAAGGCCTTGATTGTCAATATTCGCTTCAAGTTCCATTGCATAGTTACAACAGGCAATAGTTATAACTCAATTGTGCAAGATAATTCGAGCCATATAAACCCTTTTTCCAGCTACAGAATCTATTCGTAAGCCCATCTTAGATCAAGCAAAGCCAGAATTTATTTCGGAAGTTTCTCTTAACCGCGAGATGGCTTTTTTCCTGTGGAGTACCTGTGAAACGACAATTATTTTCGATTTGATTGGAAAAAGTAAGTAACTGTGAAACTGGATGGACGCAAGCGGCAATCGTAAGCTCACGGTTTTTAATATAATAATAATAATAATAATATAGGGTAATAAACGAAGCTTTACGTAATGATAAACGTTACTCTGAATAGTAACTACAACGCATAGCTATAATAGTATATCAAAATAGCAATTAATATTTTTTGTTTTGGGATCCATCCAATCCAAATCCAATGGGATTTTAGATGTACAGGCCCATTAAATAAATTATAGATATATAATATATATATAAATTATGATAGAATTGAATTACGGCAAAAAGGTCGGTCCATTATATAGTATACAAACGAACATAGCAGCATTGTACGGCTCTACTAAACTCTCTGTGCCACTTTTTCGCTTCTCGAATGATCTGTTTTCTAACTCCACCTGTACTTGTGTATGATCTCTAAGCGTATGCTTAATGAGGTTTTATGGGTAGATTTGTCATCTGGTCTGATCTCTTTCTGTTGTTCTGACATCACCTCTATCGTTGTTTACGGATGTTTCCTCTATCTCCATGCGTGCTTCATCGACCCCCGACATCGTAGCCTACTCCGTCAAACTCTTCTATGGGTCAGCCTAGACACGATATAAATGTACCCCAGAATTACTTTGACGATAACATCGAGCATCCGATGGGGAATTTTAAAAAAATAAGCCAAGATTTAGCATTCTTCTATCTCACCAATTTCGCTTCGAATGGCAGGGTGAGGCAAGGCGAGGGCCTCTTTTTTCTATCACGATGTTGTCGATCGACTAAGTTGAGTTAGACAAAAAAAAAAAGTTTAGCATCAACTGGCGATGTCCAGCTTTGTGTGCGCGAGCTTACATTTCGAAGGACTTCTGCGCTGGGTTTAATGTTGACCTTCTCGTCGCTGGAGAGTAAGTACTTGGGAGAGCAAAAAATTCACTAGCTCTTTTCATCAAGGCAACTTTTTGTCAAGAGGCCTGTTTAGCAGAGCAAATGCGCTCTCGGAAGAACGTAGGAGTTGGCAAGCCAGGATGTCAGGAGAACGAAAGGAACGTCGCAAGTAGAAAATGTATTTTTATGGGACGTGTGCAACGTACAGCAATGTCCTTTACTGCAATTATCTTCAACGGTACCAAAAAAGGTTTTTTGAAAAAGTGGCGAACACCTCTTTCCTAGGAATCATTTCGACATTTTTAACAAGTGTACTTTAAACAAAATCAAAACTTTATAAAAACCTGGTCAGATTAACCAGTTTGAAGCATAATGTGAGGTATTTGCCTGAATGTTTGACTTGAAAGTCTGTGCGAAAAGCGATCATGATGCTACCAGTTTTGTCAATGAGGACAGTCGGGACTGCTTCATTTAAGGTCGTATCTCCGCTATTTAATTAGTATTTGTGAAACTACTTAAATAACCATTACATTGAAGAACGTACCTTATCATTTTCGACGTCTGTATTTCATAGGGTACAAAAATTAACACGATGACCAAATCGTTTAGTGAAGCCCAGCTTCAATCAGCCCAAAAACTGAATAACGACCAACCCGGTTTCAGATACCTGGCTCTTTGGACCCATCTGTGCAGTGTCATCCGCTTGTCTGATGGGCCGAGACAGTACGATAAAATGAGGTCAGTTTCTTCCGTGAGTGTCCAGCAGTGCGGGATCTGGTAACACTCCAACCTTGTGGAATCAAGCTCACTTTGGAATCGGTAACACGCCGGTAAGCGTGGGTAGACGATCGCCGGAGGAGCTGTATTAGATGGGAAAAAGAATGGTCGAGTAGTGCTTCCACGAAGCGAGTTTACTGCAGATAAGTTAGAAGCGCGGAACACATACTAGTACCCATGAATTATCTGATCTACTCATCAAACGAGTTTCTGTTATTCCAAGAAAATTCTGCTACTAGCAGACGGATCTCCAAAAACCTCCCTTAACAATATGCTATTTCTCAATAATTTAGCTGATCTTTTAGTAGCAGAGCAGATGCCATTCGTGTTAACGGTACGGCAGACCGTTAGCTCAATACATGGCAAATCATTTGTGTATCCGTTGTTTCGCGTGTAATAGTTTTAGTCAACAAGTACAGGTACGATTTAATAGAAATCCGCACGAATTGATTAAATATAAAGCTAAGCTTGCAAACTATAAGCTTCTTGGGTATTTTCCACCTATAGGTTTCCGCCATTTTGTTTTCTCTAGGTTTTACAAGTTGAAGTACCTAGGAACTCACAACACAATATTCGCAAAATATGCTTTTATTTATTATTATTATTATTATACTCTTGATGTCTACCAACTACTATGATATCACTTGTTATATCGACACAAAATATATATGCTACCTACAGTTCATCTAGTTATTTTATCTTTTATATAATTATCTTAGCTGGCCGAGTCGACCCTTTTGAGCAGTTGTATCGAATCATATTGGTTTGTGATGAAAATTCGCAAAAAAATAACGCGTCATATAAAAACACATTTGATTGAACTCGTTCGCCGTTCCACGTAAAAAAAAACAAACAAAAAAATGTTATATTGTGCCACGGCATTTAAATTCGCCGACGCCTTTTCCTATTCAACAGGATACAAAAAAAACTATACAACGGGCACTCGCTTGCTCAGCAAAGATACTGCCAAGAATAAATTGGACTGCGTCGTTGCTTCATCACCGTGTTTGTTTTATAACTGACAAAAAAAAAACATCATATATTTCTCCCATACACTCCCAGTTGACCCATCTACTCTCCGCTCCGTTAAATCCTTCGAAGTCCCCACATCTGTTCTCTACTTTGTCTTCATTTCTGTCGATGCCGTTTGGTGTACCTCATGCTCGATTTCAGACCCGGTGCCAAGCGTCCACCAGCCGTTGCCTACCGTTGACCATAAGCATCAATCGATTGCTTGAAAAACGGTCATATCACCGGCACCAAACCTGAAAATCGCTGCCATCTTGCCGATGTGTATGGAAGTATTTTTTTCTGCTGCGTTGACGTTACCATTCTCATAACTATGTGACACCAGAGTTTTTTATTTGTTGTTAGAAATAGCTACACATCGTTAAGGCGTCATTGCGCGGAACATTAATGGAAACAAGGGAGACAAAGATTAAGTAGTTTTTTTCAGTCAATAAGGAACTGTTTCGAATGCCACGTAGGCGTGTGCACGTAAAATAACAATACGCATTCACCCTGTCCTGCGAGCATATTTCTGCAACGTTCCTTCCTTCAGGTCACGCAAGCTCCAGTTCATTTGTTAACTATATATATATATATATATATATATATATATATACTATAAATGAGGGAAAATAAGGGTCAGTCAAGCGTCAGAGTCTATTTCACATGATAAATAATGACAACGGAAAAAAAAAACTGAATCGCAGTGATGATTATAGTTATGCCTATAGAGATTGCCGAAATCGGTCGTTACATTTTCATTACGTACGCCCTGTTTTCATAGCATTGCACGACAACCTTATGCACTTGATCTTCCTGTAAAGTGACACAAAAACGTACAAGTACGAACCCTGGACATAGAGCCCACGTTAGGTACGTTGGGCTCGACCCAAAATATAATCGGTAATATATTCTTGTCATTGCGCGTTTCTCCGTATTGAGGCTACGCGGGGTATAGTGAGTTCTTAACGCGTGATATTCATTTTCTGTATAGGCGACTTTCACCTTCACTTCGCTCCTTACTACTAACTGTGTTTTGACCGACCCAAAATAAACCTAGGCGTGGTCGCTCGTCTGGCCTGCTCCTCATGCCGTCTATACTTGTCTAAACTGCTTATTATTGTGCCTTTGCTGCAGGCGTGACATATGTTTTGGAACGTGGTGAGTAATCCCTTTTTTCTTGCTAAAATCTTCCGTTCGACTCGACGGTAGAAACTGTAGCCTCTATTTATATAAACATCATCTTTTCTGTCGTGTTTTTCTATGATATTCGTTGCTATGTCGTTGTCATAATTATATTCTATTGTTATATACTTCTCTATATAATCTTTCTTTCTAAGCGTGGAAAGAGCTGTACCCTAACAAAATTGTGTCGCCTTTAGCTATGTTTGCCTGCGCGTATGATCGGAAGCAGCCCACTGTTATCAAAGGGGACTTTCGAAGGTCTGTCAAAAACGAACGGTTCTGATGCTTTACTGGCCGCAGAATGCCTCGAAAATAGACGAACACGAATTTTAGTTAGCAATCAGCTTTCGGCAAACTGGCTAAATACTTTGTTGTAAGGTCAATGAGTCTCACATATGCTGGAGTCCTAGTGTTGTGAGTGCTTAGCTCCTCAAACAAATCCTCGCAAGTAACAAAAAAAAAAACACACACTACAGAAACAAGAACACCCCCGGTAACGGTAGTGCCCGGTGCGATGTATTTACTTATGATGAATTTCATGTCTACGACCTGGCTTTAAAGGCAGCGGTAGCAAACAGAAGGAAAAAGATTGTCCAAGCCAGCGATACGATGTAACCTATCCAAACCTCGTCGCGGTCAATACCCCAACCACGATACATAATGCAACGAAGGGACTCTGTTGGGATGGTCTGCGGTAGCCCGTACGCGATATAACGCACGAGGCGTGGCATAGACTGAATCGGCCAAATGATACCTGTACGGAAGAGCACCAACATAATGAACACAATCAAATAATTGGCTTTTGTAGTTTGTCCACTGAGCGAGCAACAACTTGACTGGCTATTGACCCAACCAACAGTGCGCAATAAATAAACGGATAATTATAAATACGAACGTTACATGCAAAAGTTGTCTGCTTAAAAAAAAAGACTAACGCGTACCTAAGAAATTAACAAAGAGTTTGTTATAAATAAAAGTATCGGGACAAAGAAATAAAATGTATATTGGCCTAAAAGTAGGTTACGCTGTCCATTAACGGTTTTGAAAATTTAAATGACACATGTTTTCCTAACGGATTCGAACCATCGTTCAAAACTATTGGAAGCTAAATAAGATTTGCCGCCCCTAAGGCCTTCTCCACTTACCTAGAAGTTACCATAAATATACTTCTAGTTCTCGAAAAAAAAATGCCAATCGGAAATAACGATACAGAAGTATATGATGCTAAAGAGCTAACTTTCTAATCTACTTACCACTGAGCAAAAGATTGGGATAGAAGGTTCCAAGCGCAAGCATCATGGCCGATTGTTCGTCGCCACAGATGGACGAAATCACTAGGCCATACGTCATGCCGCTGAGACCTTGCAACAGGGTGAGAAGTATCACAAGGAGCAGAGAGCCTTCGAGGGGGATTTGAAATACGAGAAAAATAAACAAAAGCAGCAAAGCTACCTGGACGACCATGACGCAAAATTGTGAATAGACGTGCGATACAACCACCTCAAACGGTCTAACGCCGGCGACCCAGCAACGCTCCATTGTGCCTTCACGAGTCTCCATAATAATGGAGATCGCCGTCAATCCCACTGCCATAATGTATGTGATCGAAAGGATGATGCCGGGAGCCATGAATTCAGTAAAGCTAGGTTTGCCGCTGCCGTAGACGGGGTCTCGAACACGAACTGGCAGTTGAGCTAACGCCACATTCTTGCCCATTTTAGTTAGCAAATTATCGCAGAACATCTGTAATTGTAAAAATAACAGGTAAACTCAGAAATGAACCAGATGCTAAGTCTTTATTATGACCAGTGATGGCCATACACATAACTTTACCTCTGTCAAATCTATTTAATTTAAATATTTGGTCTACTTAATTTCAAACAGTTTACACAGACACATTCATTGACAGCCATCCGCTTCGATAATGAGTAGATAGAGAAGAGTTGCTGATTTTGCCCATGTCCTAATCTCGTAGTCTCCCTTCACTCGCATAAATGTCTCGACATCGAGGTGTCTCGGAAACGATCCTCATCCAACCTGCTTCCTCTGTCACCTCATTTGAAGCCGGCAGAAACAGCCAAGCACATATGACGATAATGAGGTCAGTGGGAAAAAAACACTTCCGATTCACCGAAGTCATATATTCTTCTAGAGGTACATAAACACCAAAGTAAAGCGGACTATCCTGCAGAATAATCCACGAACACAATTCTACACCAGAGTTATGTTTACCTCTGCTACGGGTATCATTGATGTCATCCGGTTGCCTGTGTCTCTAATTATTTATGTAGTTAAGTATCATCTGTGTCGTCGTGACTGGACTAGACTGATTTTTGTAACCCGATCCTCTGGCCTGTTCTTACACATTTTGCAAGCTCAACTGTGGCCAAGTCAATTTTGTTACAGGAACACCCCCACCCCCACCCCCACCTCCACCCCACCCCCCACCCACCCACACACACACTCCCCCAAGACACGTCGATAAGAATTTCCTGTCCCATGAGAAACAGCTTATCAAATCATGGAGAATCACATTCCTCTTTATGCTTGTCCGATACTTTGCCTTGCTAAATAATACCACCAGCCTCACCATACAGCGTGTCAGTATAACTCGTACGATCGCTGGACACAGCCTAAGCGAGGCCTAATACTGCTTGCACATATGCGTACGCGCGATACCGGGTTTAACCAGTTACTAGTCGACATTCACTAAAAAGAACCGAAGTCGACAGCGGAGCAGCGGTGTGGCAAAATGAGGAATGAGAAGGAATAATCTCCGTGCACCGTCCGACAAAAACACTATACAATCTCGGGCTTACTGAATTGTGACGAACCCATAATGCATAATGTAAAGGCATATAAAGGCGTAGTGCATTAGAGCGTATATGTCATTGAATCCGGTGCCTGAAATGCTGGGGCACTGCCCCTCGATATTTCAAAAGATAAAAAGAGTGAAAGCTGCACGTCAAGACCAAACTTCTCGCTCCTACGTCAGGGCAAGTTTTGTTCAAGCAAAATCACGTCTAACAAAGGGCGGTTTGGGTAGTGCAGGTCCATCCGGTCTCTGTCGACAGACTTTGTATCGTCTAAATCAAAGAGGCGGATTGGCGATCTTGCAGAAAGAGTCGAACCAATATTGAGCTAGACCGGAAATCGGCGGGCCCGTCGTTGAGTTAACCCCCATTTCCGTCGAGGATGCCACTTCAGTCTTAACGCGGTAGCGGACCTTTCGCCTGTACCGTCGGAGTGCCCCCACACTCTCCAATCCGTACAGTGGATATGCATTTAGTTTCCCGCAAAAAAAAAAAAGAAAAATAAAGGGTCTGCCACACAAAGTACTTGGCGGGTCTGGATCGAGCGTTAGGAAGGTCGTCACCCTGACATATAGAAAGAAAACGACTTCCAAAAGCAATATGATAGAAACGCTTTTGCGTTTCTATCATATTAAACATGAAAGAGTCATTAATCAACCATCTAATGCTAAATGTCAAAAAATTTATATCGGAGACAGTTTTTAAAACGGTATTATAGATCAATGCCACTGTACGAAACTGACATATGAATGAAGTCTACTTGACCAGTAAAATCTATTCCGACAACAGAAAAGAACTCTCAAATACTCGTTCGCCCTATAAGCGTTACTTAAGACCAAACCATGGAGTATATGCTCGTTTACGTAGCTCTCAAACATATGCTCTCCCTCTCGAATCAAACGTAGGATCACATGCATATAGGCCATTCTGCGATTGCTTGGATCTTTCTGTTACGCGATCATACCAAAGAAAAAAAAAGCGTCAGCCGGTGCGGAGCTCTCTAATCAAACAAAGTAGCGCGGTGCCGGGTGGAGTGTTGACACACAGCCCTCTGTTGCTCTGTCGTTCGGTCTAATGTCCCCCTATCCCTGTGCGCCCTGAAAGCTGTCGTCGCTGCTCCCAGAAAAACGCCTTCATGAACGAGCAGTAAGCCCTAAATGGAACAATGCTGCCACCGATGGTGCTGCCGCTGTTAGCAGTACGACTGGCGGGAAGCTGCGTGTTCTAAGAAAGCCTACAAAGCCCATAAAACGAGGGCTATACGATTGTGTGTGTCCCCACATACTGTGTAAGTTGGCTACCCAAGATTATAGTTTCTTCGATACGTTCCACGTTGTGACTGTTTTCGAGACCCCACCCGTCCGGCCGCTGGCCCACCTATCGGATCCGCCGCGAATGGGAGCAGTACGGATCACGCCACCGAAGCGGCTTAAAGCAGCAAAACGAGCACACATGCGGAAGAACTAGCTGGGGCCAGGTAAAGCAAATGTCGACATAACCTCGCAGTTAATACTTTGGCTTCCGCCCGTTGGACATTAAACTGACTAGGTGGTTTCGTTGGCAGCTACGCTTCCATCATGCACAGAAGGTCGAGACCGTCAGAAAGAGGGCAGCGAAAATTATCGCCGACGAGACTAACCATGGCAGCAGAAAGTCGAATAAGAAAAATCTAATCAAATGGACCTGCAGTATTCCCATATAATCTTCCTTAGAACCTAAATCTAAGTGATCATTCCAAAATAGTGAAATTTTATTTAATGATAACAATTGAGTTAGACATCAACATCATCTCATTTGCTCTCGCTCGCCCGCTCGCACCGTATAGATATAAGCGTATATAAACCCGTTTCCCACTCGGAATCAGTATGCGCGTATCAGTTATATATGCATATACACGGTATATCGCTGAAAGCAACCTTACCATATTTGCTATCCAGAATACTTACGATGAACGATTCAAAGATGGTCTTCTGTAAGATAAATCCTATTTGCTGGTTGGTCATGTCCATGTAGATGTCAACAGTAGACTCTTCAATCGTTTCATTGTCAGCTTCAATGCCCAGCAAGAAACGGTATTGTAATGCTGTTGAGTAGTTGTGCCCGATGTGTATGACGCCCCAGGTTTCTCCGCGTTCGACGCTAGCCAACGCTTCGTCCAGGTCGGCGTATGGCCTCTGGATAATTGTGACGTTTGAGATGGACTCTAGGAAGGGTTGAGACAGTATCGGATGGGTGTCCTGGTTGACAATAGCCATGGGAAGTTCGAAGGGATCGGCGCCGATACAAAGACAAAAGAGGACGACTTGGAAGGAAGGTACTATGAACGTAAACAACAGAACAGGGATATTTCGCTTGACTCGGGTGATATTTTTGAGAACGAGCGCCAGCGCCCTGCACCAGGTATCTATCCACGAATCGCGTCGTTTTGTATTCGTCGAGAAGCCATCGGAGTTCACTTGTTCGAAACGTGACGCATATATTTGGCTCGAAGGTGGCGGCAGCGTGTGCTTCACGTCGAGCGGAGTTTCGTAAATTGGTACTTTCTGCAAAAATCGTTCCGAAGTAATAACTTAGTACATAAAATTGCCAAACATACACTGGCATCACAGACATACCCTCAGCGACGTGTGCCTTTGACAAGGTACACAAGTCTGGCAAGCATACGTCGTTCTATAAGCACGTTAACGAGACCGAAAAGGGCACGTGATCAATTTCGCTTTTGATTTCGGTTAGCTGGCGCCTTGTAACACATATTATCATATAAACATATAAGTAAATGACTCGATTCTATGAGATAGGTTGGGCAGGTGCTAACAAATAATTATTTTCTCTATTTTAAATTAGATAGTATATGAAGAGATAATCTAACCTCTTTATGATTCTTTTGACTGTTGTCCATATTATCCGTAATTTGGGAATTGTCTTTCGGTTTGTCTGTGACGACATTACTAATCATCCTCATGTTCTTTATAATCGCTCGGCCCTCTTTATCCGCTAGACAAAGCTGCAGGAAGACGTCTTCGAGGGTAGTACAATTATAATCTTCGAGCAGACGATCAGGCGTGTCTTGTGCCAGCATTCTGCCTGAACGCATCAGCCCAACGATATTGGCTTGCCGAGCCTCCTCGATGTAATGCGTCGTTACAATCACTGTCATTCCCTGTTCACGAGTTAACGTGACGAGATAGTTCCAGATGCTGTCGTTGGAAAACATAAAATAACTGTTACTACAAATTCTAAACCAGTCGCCTGTTAACCGAAAAAAAAAAAAAAAAAAAAAACATCTAATAATCACTGCAAAATGATAGAAACAGGCAGATTTTTCTTTTTAGTTCTTGTCTCAAAATCTAGGCAGACAGAATATAGCCATAAAAGCGTGTTGCTATACTTACGCTTGTCGTAGGAGCGGGTCAACTCCGACAGTGGGTTCATCAAGTATGAGTAAAGGTGGCTTATGGATTAGGGCTGCCGCGAGTGACACTCGGCGCTGCTGACCACCAGAGAGATTCTTGACCAGGCGACCCTTATCGGGGAGATCCAAGAACTTCAGCAGGAACTGGATACGGTCTATTAATGATTCAGCATAGAGAACAGAATACTGTTTATAAGAAGACGGCCAACTTTTTTAAAGATACTGCCCTTTACTATTTGCCATATGTTATTCCGTACGATGATGATTATCTTTAATATTTTCATTTTTAAGCCTTTTCCTGATCTCAGTTAGAACTTTAACTTCGGTAAGACAGCTCTACTTTTTTGCTGTTTCCCGACAGCTCCCCTAAGCACACAAATAGATTTTATAGTCGTCCTTTGTTCAAAAAGCCGCCTAGACCTAATTATCGAGACACCTTCCCACTGATTCAGCTGTTGTTGTCTGCTATATGTTAACATACTGTCTACGGTGCTACAACGCCTATATACCATACCTGTATATCATATGGAGAAGCGTACATGCATGATGAAAGAAAACGTTATATTAGAAAAGTTTTTTTTCGAAGTTATCCATCTCTGCTTCCCAAAAAATGTTTGACTTTAGCTCAGTCTGGTGCTTTTGGTTATCGTTGTTGTTGTTGTTGTTGTTGTTGCTAATCCGTTTCTCTCGGTTAATCTCGATTTCTGTTTACCTTTTTTTGCCATCTGGTCGCATCATATTTGCCAATTGTACCGTGATGATTCTAATTCTGGGCATCGCTGTCACCAACCGCGAAACGTCAATTCATGTCATCGCTTCTGTTATTGCTGATAGAAATCTGTGTTGCCTTGCTTCTTCTTTTGTTACACCGGGTGCTGGGCCTCGCTCGTAACGTACACCTTAACCGTTTACTTCCGTCGGCCTTTTGCTTCTATCGCCGTCTTTGGTCGCCATGCAAACGAGCCGCAAAGACGGCGGCGGTAATCATTGTGCTGGTGACGATGACTGCACAAGCAGCACTGGCATGCGATTAGGCATACTTATATGGCAATGCCTCTAATCACAATATGTTATTTATATAGTAGTTCATAGTATATTTTCGAAAGAGGCCGGGCAATAACAACGACTCTCGCTTCCGCAACGTCCTGTGTCGGCCATCCTTTTCATGCCAATAGCATCCTGAGTTCGTTCAACAGTTTCAATAACGACTATAGCTGTTACCAAGGTTACTTAATAACAGCTATAATAATATAATTAGCATTATGTCCAATGTTGTTGTTAGTTGATAAATGCAGCGGTGAGATTTTGCTATGGCTAGGCAAAAGCAATAAAAAGAGCTAAGTGTTATTAATGTCTACACAAGAAAATGACAAGACAGGCCGGATGAAAGCAGCAACTGATAACAAACAACAAAGTTCTTTCCCAACGAGCCATACGTCATTTCTAGAATCTTTTTATGCTTGCCTGACAAGCTAGTTATGCACAAGTATGCGGTATTTCTGGCGCTGACCTGAACGTCCTATCTGAAACCTGGTCGCGTAACAACTCTGGGAGCTGTAGGCTATCTTACGACTACATCGGCTATGTTTACTACTGTAAAAAATTTAATGTCTAATATCTCAGCCAACGATAAAGGATCTATGGCTATTCGTCTATGCTTATGACCCCCCGTCGACCAACTGTCCCAATGCTCGACATTCATCTGCCACCCGAGTGTTATTTTTACTCTTACAATGGTTAGTATAGTTACCATGTCAGGTTGTCTTTAGGGTATGAATTAACGTTTGTCCATTATCCATTCACTAATCTACTGATAATGTACTGATATTAGACGTACGCTTGTTGTAGTTCCTAAGCTGACAAAAAAATGCACTCATATACCATTTAATTCGGTACAAACCTTGTATGACTTTGCCAGGCATACGAAAAACTTTGCCAAAGAAAAGCAGGGTCTCGTAGATTGTGAACTCAGGATAAAGGGTGAGCTCTTGGGGCATGTAACCGACCCCTGGACCAGGGATGAAGGCGCCCGTGGTACCGGGCACCTGTTCAAACACTCGGACCTGCCCACACTGTGGAGTTTTCCGGCCCACAATACACCGTAGCAGTGTCGTTTTTCCGCACCCACTTGGGCCAAGCAAACCGTAACTGCAATGATATAAAGACACGTAAATAATAACTTTACGTTAATTTCTAAATTTGAAAATTTCCAATCCAAAAAAAAATGTATACCGAAATAAAAAAACGTCATATTATTTATGCACTTGTTGCAGTCAATACTTCAGTCTATCTATATCTTTCTTCCTGCTTTCATTTGTTATGAGGCGCAATCTTTCCGCCTTAGTCTGCTGTAGTACTTAGTGTCTTATCAGCGGGCCAGTATCACGCAAGCGAGTGAGATCAGGACCATTCCAGCAGAGGGTCTGGGCTTCAGCTTGTTTCAGAATATTCCCACGAACCACAGCGGTTTCACGCCGCTAAGTTTAGTTAAATAGTCATTCTGACGTAGCGCAGATGTGTTCCCTGCTTGATAACGTTTTTAGATGATCAATAATAGCAGCAGCAAAAACAGCCCGACCACGATCGGTGCAACAGCATCTATAATCTACGATCAATATACAAGTACTGCAATCCTGACGTTATACGGATTCGTCGCTAATTGTCAGACCACAGAAGGGACCAGAAGCAATATCAACAGACCCAGCTGACGTTGGCAGAGCTGTCACTTCCGTTTTGTTTGACCACCGCTAGTAATGGCGATAACTGCAGAAGCTTTGGCAGAATTGAATCAGCATCAAGTTAGGTACTCAGGCAAGTAGATGACAAGATGCTGCTGACTGGCCAGCGAGTACAGGGCAGTACACAGCGCCCCCTGATTCAATTTAGGCCTGGCCTGACTTCACAAATCATTTGCGGCAGTGCCGGCTGTCAGTAGGTCAAATACTATTGTACATTTGATGCGTAATTCACTCAATCGATACAACCAAATATGCTGGGAATAAAGTAGCTGAGTGAACTAATATAAAGATTCTCACGATTGAAAAGATTTCTCCGCCGTAGGTAAATAATAAACGAGTTATACCAACATATTGATATCTTATAACCGGATTAGACTAAATTCTTATATATATCCAATTTATCAGGGGTTTTTTTGTGTCTAAAATCTGTTTTCAATTTTTCTACCTAAGAACACACATTCGTTTCTCATGTTTCGCTGGAATCAACGCTATACTTGATAGGTGTATGCACAGATGGGCCTTATTCGACGCACAAATGACCTAATCCAGCTGTCCCTAGCTACCTGAATGAGACTCACACCGGCAACATAACACTATCAAGTGAGTGAGTGAGTGAGTACGGTTTTGGTACAATCGAAGGTCCTAATAGGAGAAAATGATGGATAAAAGACATCTGAAACGTTTGCTGTTGACAAACACTAAACGTTTTGAAGATCTTGCACATGTAACCTCCCCGTACATGCACAGCTGAAGGAAGTGGCGCACATGGTATCGATTACGTTTGATAGTTTGCCGAATAGTTGGTGCTGCACGGGAATGGCCATTGCACGTTCGTGACGTTACGTTCTTTCTGTCGATTTCAGGGTAGATATCAGGCGAAACGAACATCACAGCCAGAGCTGATGACAGCAGCGGCGGCAGCAGCAGCTGATCGGCCGCAGTCATCACCGGCTGCCGTTGGATACCACAGGCGTAACTACAGCTCCCACTTCAGCTTCGTTTATTTATTTCTGCTTTTTATCTCATTGGCAAGAAGTGGTAGTAGAAGTCGATGAATCGCCCATGAATAGGTAACAGCCCACCAAACATGAAAAGAGTATTTCTCTTACTACCGATACGATATTATCGCTAGCGCGACCATTGCAACGCCCGACAACGCGTTTTCCATTATTAGCAGATTGCTTCACCGTCTGAGCGGTAAGCAGACTCTTCCCACCGGCCAGTTGGTTTTACTCATTGCTTTGAAGGGAAACAGAGTCGAACGTCATATTTTACGATTCCGTTGTTCGATATTTGCTGTCACACGCTTGCTTTGCTAGTGAACTATATCCTTAGTTGAGTAGTCACACACTACTTACTACCATTATTATAACGGCGATGTTCGTCGGCACTGCGGGGCAGTGGCAGGGGCCGATAGCATGCTATTCAACTCCACACGATTCTCTGTGGTTTTTCCTTTGCAAAAAGGCCGCACGTAAAACATGACGAAGCCTAATAACCAGCTATATAACTTCATGACCTGTCGTCGAGGCACCTTCGACATCTCCGGAGAAGAGGCAGGAAAGAAGTCGTTGCTTTTCGCTCATCTAGCTGCTCGTTCATTCGTCGTAAGGACGATAAAGTCAGAACGGAACAAAATATCTCAGATATGGACACACACATACAAACACACGAATATCCATCAAATAGCGAAGCCTGTTAGGATGTTTTCGAAGTCAACTTCATCGTCGCTTTGTCGATTTCGGTGACGCGTTAGGGTGCCTCCTGTTAGCCGCCGTCTTCTTCGAGTCGTGCACTGCGCTGCGTTACGTGCTGAGTATGTACGACGTCTGATACCTATCTATATATATATATATATATATATATATAAAGGCGTGTGTGTGTATGTATGTCGGATGCAGGTCTGTATGACCCTGACTGCGCCCTATCTACCGCTGTTGTCTTCCATTACGAAGTCGAACCCCGCAGACACGCGTCGAATTGTAGCGCTTCCTTTGCTCCATAGCAACGGGCGTTACCAAGAGTCCAGCATTGGCTGTAGGTCCGCAAAAAAAAGAGAGCGTCGGAGAAAAGAGTGACGAGAGGACGCGATAGCTTTGTTGTTACACGCTCTTCTTTTGATGACTTGGCCAATGGTTCGCCGTTTGCTCGTCTTTTCGATTTTGTCCGATGGCCAGACTTTTCGCTGACGATCCGCTTTCTATCAGTAGCGGTAGGCGGCGGTACCAGCATTTACAATGGTATCCCAGTTATTGCTATTGGCAGTGCATTTAGATATAGCATATATGTATATATGCGTGTGCGCTTTTCGTAGAGCGTTCGTGTATGTCTTTTTTGCGCCTTCGGTCTTTTTTCTCGGGAACTGCCACCGTGGCCAATACCGCTGCCATACTTGCTGCTAAGGTAGCTGTCCGCATCGACATCATCGTCGATGATTCTACGTGCAGAATCGTCATCGCAGCCGTCACTCCCGCGGCCGTCATTAGCTAGCATAGCGAAAAAGCAGACGACTGCCTGACGATCGGCCGAGCGTCGAAGCTTGCTCGTACTTTGCGTTAGCAGCTGCTGCACAAGCGGCAAGAGTTGCAACGGCAGCATCGTGTATAGCGCTAGTATCACCCAGGACCTCGCAAACTTCATCTCACCACTCCTGTTACTTCCGCTCGACTCAGCAGAAGCGCAAATATCTGAACGAACGTAACGTTGCAGTGACAACGACAACTGGTGGCGCTAGCGACCATCTATTTTCGACGTTTGTAACTGCTACAGCTTCAACTTCTTTTTTCTACTACATACATTACTATATTTATGGCACAGCGTCCTGACCATGGCGGTCAGACCGCCGGCCAGCTAGATAACACACAGTTAATAGCTGCTGCGCAGCGGGACACTCCAGTCGAGTGGATAGCTAAATCTCGGTAAGTTAGTACGTGCACGTACATACACACAAAGCATCGCACTGCAGATTCGTTGGATGAGGCAGAAGCAATGATAGTTAAATACTGGCCACCTATTACAATGAGCAATGCTGATAGCAGAATCAGCCTGAATAGGACAAATATTGAACGACTTTATTGACGAGACATTTGCATGAAAATATCGCAGTGAAGAATATATAATGCATCCCATCTAGTCTGATTTGGTTTGGGGCATAATGGCTTCGTTTCAAATAAAAACTCAAGAAACACTGCTTCCATGTCTTCATGTACGCATGGTACCAGAATGATATTACTGCTGTGCTTAGCGACGGCTGTGCACTATTTAAAATATCAGACAATAGAATTAAACATTACATAGTTAGACACCCAGCTTAATCCAGTCTCTGATTCAGTCTCTGATTCTGTCCAGAGTGCTGGATACAACGGAAAGTTTGCTGTTGGAATGAATGTTGCAAGGTCATTTGCTCTGCACTAACTACATACGGTGTATTTATTGAGGAAACAATATTGCGAACATTTGTTCGCTAAAATTCAGTGACGCTTATCGAATGAGGTGCCGTCATGTTGCTGTCCGCGTTTTACTATTAAATCAAAAGTGACGCGCTACGTTAAGCTTAGGGGCCACCTAAGCAGGTCCGTAGAGTTTTCAAGTGCCTCAGTCACTCGTACTGCTGCTTTACGTTTCTAGCATCATTTATAAATAGCCTTATGTAGCCCTACAGCCACCTATTGGACGACACATTCAGTTTAGGCGCGGCAATTTTAAGGCTTTGCCGTGCTCCATTATGTCCGGGACCTGGTCGTTGAGACGATGGATCGATGCGTGCCTAAACGTCAGGCGCGATCGATACTCGTACACTGGCCTCCTTCTCTGGCGAACGTCACATTACCATATACACTCGAACAGTCTGCGAAATGCCTTGACGGTATGGAGGACTCGACCAGCCGTATAGCCACTGGATGCATCCCGTCCGGAATGACACAGCGTGTCCTCCACTAAACCGGCCAACCCTACTTTTGAGATCCTTATAGCATATAACGGCGATATGTAATCGACACATCATTCCTCAGCGTCGTGATGCGTTAGCGGATTCGTATTTCTGTGTTTCAAGCTAGAATTATGGATTCAAGTTAAACAAAACCTAAATAACGGTGGGCTGGAAGGTTAGGTGGGATGAGCTCGCCATCCGAGCATTAGGCCCGACAGCGCGCTTCGATGTTTCTTACAAGGATCACAAGCGACACTCGCTCTTCACTCAAAACGCATGTCAGTTTTCTTCGCTATTTTACCCCAGACGGCCCAACTTAATCCAGTGCAATGATTCACACCTACCAAAGCCCAAGTTCACAAAAAACAGAATTTAGCAAGTTTTTACATACTTAACGAAGAGATCCACACTTGAGGTCATCGAGTAATGCTCACAAAGTATTCTAAATGTGTTTCCTATATTTATAGCTGCAGAAGAAGGCC